TTGGTGGAGTGTACTAATGAACAAAGGCTGCAGATGGAGCTCGTTGACAGTCATTGGCTCACACAGGAGCCCTGATCTGGCACACAGAATTCTGACTGTGGTCTAGGTGCTGAACCATTCCCACTTGGTTGTGACTGATCTGTCAGTTACTTGATGTTCTACTCCATGTGTGGGAAGACAGCCTCAGAGTGTTCTTCCCACTGTACCTTGCTGTGTGCTGTTACAGAGCAAATTGAATTTCAGTAGAATTAAAAACTCTTCTTGATATCATGTCAGCCACATCTATTCTGACTTCTCCCTACTCACAATCTTCCAAATTTTCCATTCTGGGCTGTCACCAGGTAGGAGACATTAATGATTATAATCTTTGGTACACAATACACATGTAATCCGTCACATCAACTATCTATAAAATGTTTATCGTGTACCAGGGACTGTGCTCAGATCTTTAGAAAGATTATCTTGTTTTTACAATTACCTTATAAGGTAACATGTTATTTTTCCTGTTTTGCAACTGGATAAACTGAAGTTCAGAGGTTTTTAATCTACCCAGTGTCACCAGTGTGGTAAAAAGTAAGCAGATAGTATGTATTTTTCTTCTATCTGTAGGTGACAAAACAGGGCTCAAAGCACACGTGACTTGGCCAAGTATGCTAAGCAAGTAAGCACGCAAGACACACACACACACACACACACACACACACACACACACACACTACTGTACCCCAAGAGCTGTTCCATCCACAGAAAGGTACAGACACTCAGCCCATGAGGACACATCAGTTGCTGAATACAAGGTACTTGGACAGTAGTCACTCCAAAGACCAAGTGTGCAGCCTCTCTCCTAGCACAGACTTTATCTTCTATCACGTACAGCCTCTAGACACATTTGAATCAAAGCTGATGTTAATTGCCAAAATGCACATTGTTAAATGGTTCAGAAGAAGTAAACATTAGGAAATATTATTTACTTAAACAATATATGGTTGGTTTTGACAGATTGTATCCTCTTTAGGTATAGCCACTAGGAAAAGGGAGATTTTCAGTACTCACAGTGGAAAAGAACCTGCTTTTAAGGATTCTGGATATCAGTTCAATCTGCACAATGTTTGTGTTTTAAGCATTAGATCTTGAGTTTGAACCCCAAATATACATACAAAATTAGTACGGTGATGCATGCTTGCAAACCCAGCGCCCGGGCCACTGAGCCACCCTATCAGTGAGTTCCAGGCCAGAGAGAGACTTGTGTCAATAGTCAAGGTTGATAGAGAAGAAAACAGATGGAGGGTAAAGGGGAATGCTAGGATACAAGTGGTCTGTCATGGGGAGTGTGAGAAGCAGCACTCATTAGGGAAGATGGAGAAGTAAATGTGGAAGAATGATGGATAAAATAACATAAGGACATCCGAAAAAGCCACAAGTTGATAGTGTCAACAATTAACAAGAACAAAATAAAACAACAACAACCCCAACCCTATAATATACATAAGTCCATGTATAAAAATACACACTTAGAATTTAATGGAGTCTTTTTCATCTGGGATGATACAGCCCAAACCACCTAGCAAAATCCCAACAGCAGACACATGAAGACTTCTTATGAGTTGTTACCCAGGGCTCTCAAAGCACACTGTCTAATTGATGCCACCTCTGGATATCCTCAGAGGCAGAAGGTAAGGCGCTATTGCTAAAGACATTGTGCACTTCAGAAACAGAAATCCCTCTGGGCTGGATCTAACCTGATTGCCCTTTGCCTCAGAACTAGCTTTCATAGAACTAGAAAGCTCCATGTAAGCTTTCAAAGAATTGAGGCAACTCCAGTCTTACTCATCCATGATGCCTGTGAACCACGTCAAGCCCAGCACAATAACCTTAATGATTCAATATTGGTACTCATACCTTGGTGGTAACCAACTGATCTCTAGTTGGACTTGGACTTAAGGTTCACTTGACAATGGGAAAACTATATCTAGTACTCAATACCTAGTCATCTACTAGTGCTAATAAAGTCATGGTTATTCAAGGGGTATCTACAACCACTAATTTACTAAACCAGAATAATCCCTAACAACAATCTATAAACATCTGCCTTATACCCACAGATAAGTTTAGTCTTCATCCCTCAACAAGGAAACTTCTCTTTGCAACAGATGCTGATCATTACAGAAAACCACTAACAGTAAAAATTCAGAGTTGTGAATCCCAGTCCACAAAACATTCCCACACCTAAGGCTCAGGGAACATTGTGGAAGACAGTCTTGAAAGATTGTAAAAGCCAGAGGATCAGGGAGTTTGCTGTGAGATTTGTTTCTTACTAACATCAGAAACTGTATACATAAGGTAGCACCAACATGTCCTCCTAAACATGAGATAAACAAAGGCAACAACAATGGATACGGCAAAGTGGGCAGAGGAAGCCTATGGCCTCAAGCCTTACACAACAAACTAGGCAACTGAGAAAGGCTGGGAGTGGGAGAGGTGGTCTTCCCCTGGGAAGAGAACAGTAATTGGTAGTCCAGTATGAAAATATCAGTCTTGTACATACATGTAAAATTCTACAGACTGAATTGGTTATAGTTAGGAACGGTTTATTCTTATATGCATGAGATAACAGTTAGTGAAAGGGAAAGACACCATGAATATGAAGAAGAGCCTCCAGGGATATATGGGAGGATTTGGAGGGAGGAAAGGGAAGGGAGAAATGTAATTAAATTATAATTCTCTGTCTCTATCTGTCTCTGTCTCTCTCTGTCTCTGTCTCTGTCTCTCTGTCTCTCTCTCTCAAACACATACATACAGACAGACATACACACACACACACACACAGAAACAAAAACACATAGACATACACACACACACACACACACACAGAGGAAAACAATCAAGGTGGACAGTTCTGAGGTTAATCCCTGGCTGCCACATGCACATAAACACACATGCCTGGACATTTATACATACAAGTCCCTTTGCATACATGTGCTGTTATGCACACATGCATGCACACACCCACATATAAATGCATACTCACATGCACATAGAGAAACTTCTTTGACATCTTTTTCTCAAAATGTAACCCAATTCCACTCATCTTTCCCTCCACTTGTACCTACCCTCTACCTTCACCTTTACCCTCTCGACTTGTACCTCTAACCTCCCCACAACAGAGAAAAAAAGATCTCATATGTCACAGTGTATCTCACAGAAATCCCTTTTGTCCACACTTCTTTGCTTGCACACTTCATTGCAATGACTCCTTGGGCTGGTATGGGGCCTCTGGCTTCTGTTACTCTATTAATACTGGATCTTCACTAAGACTCCTCTTGCATATCTTGTTGTTGCCCTGTGTCATGAAGATCCTGTAGTTTTGGATCTGTAGGCCTGGCCCCTTCATGCCCTCCAGCAGTTCATAGATGGCATAGATGTTGGGGTGGGTCAATTCAAAGCCCTGGATCTGGGCCTGAGAGGTATCTGAGATGGTCAGTCCACTGGCTCTCATTTTCTCACACCCTAGGGGGCTGTCTCATCTGCAACCCCCACAACCAGGGCTAGCTCTACCCTGCTGCCCAACTGAAGAACAAGGCCCACTCTCCTGAGTGTTGCAGCCAGTGAGGGACATGGCCAGTTCTCCCACTCTCATAGTCCTGGGGCCACCTTGCCTATCTGTCACAGATGGTGAGTGAGGGGAAGAGGATGTCTCTCCCTAACACCATCTAGCAGACAAGAGGCAGGGCCTCAGGTCTGGCTCACCTGCAACTCCCACATCCAGGGCCAGTGCTCTCTCACCTGTCATACGTGGCAGGGAGCCACGGTGGAGAAGGGCATCTCTCTCTCACCCATGTTGCCACAGGACTCACAAGTTGCAGGACAAGCTCTCCCACATTCATGCCCCTGGGGATAGCTCACCTGAACCCCTACCATCAGAGTCAGCTCTACTGTGGTACTCAAGGTGACCTGCAGGGCCTACCCTCTTGCATGCTGCAGCAAGTGAGGGGGCAAAGACAGCTCTCCTGCTCACTATGGATGTGAAGGCAAAAGAGCAGGGCAAGGATCTCTCCTTTGTCAATGCCACCATACAGTAGATAAGAGGCAGGGCTGGCTCGCTCATACTCATGCCCTCAGGGCTGGCTCACTTGGGTCAGCTTTGTTGTGCTGACTAGGTAAGTTGCAGGCTCTCTTCTCCCCAGTACTGCAGCTGCTGAAGGACAGGGCCATCTCTCCTGCTTTCATGACCCCCAGGTATCCCACTTGCCACAGGTGGGTGAGGGATGACAAGGGAGGAGGGTATCTCTATGCCACCACAAGGGGCAAGTGCTAGGGTCAGCTTATCAATGCTAGCATCCTTGAGGCCACGTCACCCATGACTCCCACAATGTTCAGGGTAGGATAGGGGACACTCTTATCAAATACTGCAGCTGGCTGCAGGTGAGGTCAGCTCTCCTGCTTCCACAACTCTAGGGTCAGCTCTCCCAAGATGCCCAGGTGAAAGATAGGACCAGTTCTGCATATTCCTCAGACATCAATATTTCTCTGGATGGCAGGTCCTACCAGGAATGTCTGCCCAGCCTTTGGTGGTAACAGACCCCTGCTGCTGCAGGGCCATGGACTCAGACATGGCTCTTGGTGGCAGCATGGGCCAGAACCCCACTATGATCCTAGGTGGCATCACTGACTACTCACATCAGGTCATTTCTCACTACCCTCAAGTCAGTTCTGCCTCTCTTCATTGTGCCACATCCTTCTGGTTCTCTTCCTCTTCCATTTCTCCACTACTTACTAGTTCCTCGTAGTGGCTCCTGGGGTCTCTGAATGTTTCCAGTCATCTCAGGAGTGCTGTGCCTGGTTTGTGCATTATGGCCCTGGGCAGGGGTCATCTCAAGCATGATTGCCTTCCCCCAACCCAGGCCTTCATGGTGCTAGACTAGCGGTCATCTTAGGATATCTCCCTGTCTGGGCCTCCTGGTATCAGACTGGTAGTGGTCTTAGACTCACTTTTTTCGGGGATTGTTAAGTTACTGATCATTCAGATGTTTATAGGTTAGAATATTGAGCATAGACATAGCTTCTCTCTCCTCTGCCACCCACTGATACACATATGATGCAGCAGCCACATTTCTAACACCTCTAGGGGCAGGTTGGACTTTTTATAAAATCTAAGATCTCGTGGCATTCTAAACACTTCCTCCAATTTATCCACTTTCCCAGGAGTTTAATTTTGTGTGCATAAGAAAATCTTGCTTCTCTGAAATATGTACTTTGGGTAAGAATCAATCATAACTGGTATTTTGCTCCAGTAAATTGTTTCTGGAATGATTAAAGGTCTCAGAATTAACGACTTCTTCTGAAAGGATCCAGACCAAGGAAAACGCAGATACACTGAGTTTGACAAAGCTTGGTTCTCTGGGGTCCAGCTTATCTAAGATCATATGTGTTTCCTTTGTGTCTGTACAGAAGCTTTGCAATTAGGACATGTTTATGTTCAATCTTTATGCCTCCCCCGCATTATCTGCCTTTTCTCTGTTGTAACAAATCATTTTATAATTAGCTGAAGGAGAATGGAAAAATTATGGTATGGTCAGAGCAGCAATTATCTTGGTTAGATGTCACTGTTAGAATTTGCACATTAAGAAAGATTTACTAAGGTCTTTACTTTTCAAAGACTCTTCACATGAGCCCACAGAGGAGTTCATGTTGGCACACAAGTGTTCCCATTCATCTAGTAAGTAGTTATCAGGTATGACTGTTGTCCCAGGAGTATTTTAGTTCCTGAAAATGAGATTGTGAAGAACGCTAAAGGTTCCTGACTTTGTGAAGTTTACATTTTGTGAGGAAGAAAATAATCACAGAAAGAGTGATTTCCATGCCATATAACATACACAGATATGGTTCCAGGTACACCAGAACACGCTCAGCTCATCTTCCATACTGGTAGAGAGGTGCATGCACTCTAAGAGAAAGAGAACATGCTGCCCCATGCTCTTTACAACATCCCGAACCTTCAGCCACTATTCTTCGAAGAATTAAGTGGTTCCAAGGAAAAGGGCCGTGAGCTCACTGGCCCTTGTGTTTACCTGGGGGACTTGGATTTAGCTGACTTTTCATAGGGTAATGTTGTTTAGTGGTACCCTGTATATGTGTCTTTTTACTCTCTATTTCCATTGGATTGGGAACCAGGAGGTGGTGTTTCATCTGCCTGAGCCTCACCATTACCATTCCTCAGAAGAAATAGTGGAATCAGAGACGCCTCCAAAATACCTTCGGCTTGTAATGGGCGTCACTCACAAGATTCACTTAGCCTGGCAACTCACTGTTCATTCAGCATGTGAACTCCTGCCTCTCAGCATCCCATTCCCTCCAGAGCTCTGACCAGCACAGAATAGCCGTAGCTCGTCTTTTCAGTAGGCTTGAAAAACACTGAGCCAGGATGGCTGCTTTCTGCTGTCTCTCTACAAGGACAAGCGTATTGTTTAAAGACAGACATCATGATTTAGGAGGTCAGTTTCCCTCACCACTGGTGGGTGGCCTGGAGCTATTCCTCACAGTTCTTACTGACCACAGTCATGTTGCTCTTTTGCTGTTTTTACTTGGTGCGTTTCTTCCCCTTACGGAGGATCAGAGAAAGTGTCTTAGGCACTGACTTCTTTAGCATAGTGCTGAGATGACCGCTCTCCTCAAATGTGCAGTTGAAGAGGAACAGAGTTCTAAAGTCTCTGTGGTCATGTAGCCCCCGCCTTAGTCACCCTATTGCTTTTCCTGGGAACTTGGTTGTTTTTCCTTAACTAAGCCAAGAGAACAGCTGTCCTTGGCAGGCCTGGCTTCCTGCATGCTGTGCCATGGCCCCATTGCTTCAAAAGGAGCCCCAGGAGGTTTGGAGTGACACAAACCTGCCAGCCTGTCCTGTTCCCATGGTTCCTTCTGGAATCTGCCCTTCCCCTCTTGGCTCACAGATTCTGTCCATGATGGAGCCAAATTTTCCTGCTCTGAACCTATTTTTCTTTGTATCTGGTCCTCAATCAGAGAGTTCAGTGTCTAGTCTCACACTGACCAAGAATCTGTGATGGTGGGTTTATTTTGATCCATAGGACTTGGGAAGAGGTTTATTTTGATTCATAGCATTATGGGATATGGCCCATGACGGAATGAACTAAAGGTGGATGTTGCATTCACAGCTAAAAAGTAGAGACCAGTGGAATGTTTGTGCTCAGCACAGTGGTTCCTTTTTATTAAGCCTGGAACATTATGGAATGATACCACATGCAGGGTGGGTTTCCCCACATTAATCAACTAATCTAGATAATTCATTACAGACATGTCCAGAGAGTTATTTCCAAGGTGAGTCTACATCCCATCAAGATGGTAAAATTAGTCATCACATTGGCCATAAGCTGTCTTGTCTTTCACCACCATAAGGTAATACCTTACCACATACCCCCAAACAAGACCAACCCACCATGGACTTCCAAAATTGTAAGCCAAAATAGCCTCTTTGTAAGATGATTGTCTCCAGTATTTCTTGTTGTCATAGAAATCTGGTGGACACATGTACTAACCACATATGTTTGAAAATAATTATCATATTTTCATTCATCAAATGTTATCTTGGTATTTATATCTCTGTCTACATTTTTTTTTATCTAGAATCACTTCAAACAAAATTACAGATGTCATATTTTATAATGAAGCAAATCTAGACATTTGTCTGAAAACTAAAGACCTGCTTTGCAACCAACTGTAAACATTGGCATCTAACACAACAAACAATAATTTCTTAATTTGTAATACAAGTACATATTGTTTGTCCCCAAGTTATATCTTACAGATGTTTTTAAAGCATGGAAATATTCTATTTTTAATAGATCCCATAAGATTTTTATTCTTTTGGTTTCTTTAACCTAGCCCAGTTAAACTCTTTTTTTTTTTCATAATACTCTTTGCATTGTGTCAGGTTGATCAGAAACTTGAATTATCACCTAGGCTTGGGTGAGTACATATAAATGCACAAACATTATGGGATGGACCTGTTGAGAAAGAATAACAAAAGAAAGGGCTGGAATTTTCAAAGTCAGAATCCGAGGATTTTATTCTTTCAAACTAAGTACCTTAAAAAAACAAAAAGGGCCTAGAAAGATTAAATTGACCATAAAAACAAAATGCTAACACACAGCACTCATCTCTGCTACACACTCCATGAGTGGTCCTGGGCATTTAACCAGTTACTAAGTAAAGCAGGCACAGTATGGCTGCTTAGAATAACAGTTTCTCTTCTTAGGTTTTCCCCACCATTCAGGATTCAATTAATTCAACTCAGTGGGCCTCTGCTAGACTCCTGCAACCCAAATGCAGGACCTCCTCTGATCAGCATGACTGCTCTGAGTGTTCTCTGAGTCCTGAGAACATGAGAATAGAAGCAACAATAGAAGAGAAATGTCTTGGTTACAGTATGAAAAAGACTTGGGAATAAACAGTACATAATTAAAAATAATCTCCAATATGTATAAAAACCTATGAGTATTCGTAAAGTGCCTATTTATTACTAGTTCTGAGCTTTATCTTTATTCCTTGGTTATTTATAGTTATACAGTCAAAATAGCATCTGGAGATGCTTACACATTCAGCCTGTTCTTGCACCATAGCAGGAAAACTGGACCTAGGTCACAGAGGAAAGATACAAAAATTGGTATACTCCAGAGTTTGTGTGTGTGTGTGTGTGTGTGTATGTGATACACGTGTGCATGCTATATATCCATTTATTGTGCTAGGTATCTCATTTTTTTAAAAATTCATCACCAAATCAGACATTTTAGGCAGTTATGTAGAAAAATGAAGATTCTTGGGGAACAAAATTATTCTTTTCTTTACTAAATGTAATTTTGTCCAGGACAAGATAAAATTCTATTAAAGCAAACTTATGAGGAAACAGCCGTGTGTGTGTGTGTATATGTGTGACATGTGGAGGTCAATGATGGATATATATATATATATATATATATATTCATATATATATTACATGTGTAGATCAATGATAGATGTACATATACATGTGTTTGACATGTGCAGGTCAATAATGTCTGTTAATGCGTGTGGTGTATATATACATGTGTGTGAGATGTACAGGTCAATGATGGGTTTTAATGTGTGTATGGTTGTATATGTACATGTGTGTGACATATGCAGGTCAATGATGGGTATAAATGTGTGTATGGGTGTATATATACATGTGTGTCATATATACATATATATATATATGACATGTGCAGGTCAATGATGGGTATTAATGTGTGGGTGGATGTATATATATGTGTGTGTGACATGTGCGGATCAATGATGGGCATTAATGTATGTGATGTTGTATATATACATATATGTGAAATAGGGAGGTCAATGATGAGTGTTTTGGAGACAGGATTTCTTACCTTGCCTGGTTAGCAGGCTTCAGGGTTCCACGTATGTCTATAACACTCACCCCCTGTGCTGTGATATAAGCCACCATCTTCCATTTTTTAACGTGAGTGTTATTGATCATACTCAGGTCTTTGTGTCTTCACAGAAAACCCAGACCATGGAGAGAAAGCCCAGGCTGCATGTAGAGACCAGTGCAGCAAGCACTTGCTTCTTGGTGGATAAGGATGGTATTTCTGCCTCTTCTCCATGGACACACTTTTCAGTTTGTATTCTGACCATGCATCTGAGCCTGGTTTTGTTTGCTATGCTCTTCCAAGGCTGAGTATATGGTATTGCATCCTGGAAATGTTTTTAGTTCATGACTTCTGCTATTAATTGTATCTGTGAAGAGGACTCTAAGACTTATGAGTGCTCAAGACATGAACAACCAAAGGCAAATACTTAAAAAAAAAAAGATACATTGGATCTTTAGCCTCCAAATCTTACTAATCCCAAATTATTTAATCCATGGATTAAACACATTTAATCTATGTTTAAGCAGAGTGTTAGATGGACCTGCCCCTTTTTTAATCTAAAAAATTCCTGAATGTTTATGGCAAAAAATATTTCCCACAAATGCTTGCTTATTTCTCAAAGGTCAAAATAAAAGTCTGACAGTAACAAGTACAGTTGCTTAATTCACCTGTAATTTATGGATTTGTAGATTTAAAAGACAACAGAATCCCTCTACCAT